AAGCTGGGGAAAACAGGCAGAGGCAAGGATCTATGTGCAGGTATTTAATGGAAAAACTAGAACAAACAACAAGCCAAAAACCAAAGGGAACAAAAAACAGAATGACTGGCAAACAGACAACCATTACATTTAACAAATCACAAGGAACTAAAGAAAAACCAGGGCTATATATACACACGGGGCTAACAAACTTAAGATAAGACACACCTGGGGAGACTAATCAAGGGGAACCAATGAACAAACTGACTACAAACACCACGGGAGACAGGAAGTGACATAAAAGTCCAGGGCAAGGCACAGAGAGCATGAAACAAAAACCAGAAGGAGTCGATTTGTGAGAACAATCACGTTTATTTTCTAAAACCAAAATAAAACTGAAAACCTCAAAATTACAAAACAAACAAACAAACAATATCTTTCAAAAAGGTCTCTTCAGTAGCTATAATGGATAAATAAAATAATGTTAAGTCAAATTAAAAAGCCAAAGCCTTCTTGCAGTGGATGTGCTGGTTTGGGCCTCATTGCCGGCTGCAGTCATGTCCTCATCTCATATATAAAACACCTCTGATTCACAAATACTTGCTAAGGAAATCGCATGCACATAAAGTAGCCTTGCTGACAAGTTTGGGTGAGTAAGGGCAAAACGCACAGGATGCAGTACTTTCAGTGACCTGTAATAGGCAGTATCACGTCTTTTTGTAGCAGAAATAAACTGCTGCAGAAAAAGTTAGGTCCATGCAAAATGTAATGTGTAACTGCAACACTCATTTCAAATGTAATGGAGTAAAGAGTACAGATACTCATTCAATAATGTAGTGAAGTAAAGAGTAAAAGTTGCTAATATCTTTGATACTCAGTATAACTACAAAGTACCCGAAAAGATACTCAAGTACAGTAACTAATTACATTTACTCCAATACTTTACACCTCTGGCTTTTATGCATATAAGATATTAATATGATACTATACTAATATGATAAGATACTAATATGCACTGTTGATAAGGTACAATGTTCCCTTGAGGGCATTTCCCAGTGACAAGCTGTTGTAGACATATTCATAAATTCATATAGTCTGTGTATAATTTGCAATTACTACATTTGATGGAACAGCAGAGGCCATCAAACTAACAGGGAATGTTCTCAGAATGTTCTCAGAAAATTCTGTCAAGATTCTCTGAAAGTTATGAATAAACATTCTTTCAGAACAACCTATTTGGTCTTTAACAATTTTCTCAAAATGTAGCACGAATGGCTGCAATATAACAAAGAGTGAAAAATTGAAGGGGGTCTGAATACTTTCCGTACCCACTGTATGCATCATTCATGGAGCATTCATTTTCCTGAAATGTTTTAGTTGGATGCTCGTCTAATGTTTTTAAAAAAATTTAAATATTTTTTAAACTTGTTTCAGAATGTTCAGAGTAAATAAAAAAATAACATTCCCATAATGTTAACAAAACCATCAAATGAAATGTTCCCTTAACGTCCGCATAACCAAAAAAAACCCAAAAAACTTTTACACATTTAGAGAATGTTCAGAAGCATATTTATAACTTAAAGGAAACATTAGCAGAATATTCTTAGAACATATTTTATTGGGCAATGTTTTTTATTGACGTCTTTATTTTGTGTTTTTTCACCAAAACCAATTACTATTTAAACATTTTAGGACAAAAGTTTGAGATAACTATAAATCAAAAGTTAAGATAACTACATCAAGACATCGGTTTGGTTATGGAGAGTGCACAATAAAGATCAGTGATCGATAAGTATTATGCTTCATAAAATTTATTGTTAACTGGACAAATAAAACTAAAAAAATCAAAACATGTTTAAATATTTTATTAATACTCAATACATAAGTATAATAAGTGTCTACTAACTAAATAAATGCAAATATTTAAAGGGGTCATATGATGCGATTTCAAGTTTTCCTTTCTCTTTGGAGTGTTACAAGCTCAAAGTTCAAAGTACAAGTATCAAAGTTAAGACTCTGCCACACACCCCTAAAACGGCTCATTCTAACACCCCCCCACATATCTACCTCACTATGTGGGAATATTTGCATAATGCTGCCCAAATGTTCACGCAAAGAAAGAAGGCGTGGTTTCAGTAACCGCAGTTAGTGTTGAAGCAGCCATGTCAGGGAGACGCTGTGTGTTTCTAGGCGAAAGCAAAAGCACTTTATTTGGCCTTCCGAAAGTAGATGCATTTAGGAATCTTTAAGATTACTTACAACAGAACAGCAATGCATTTTATGGACGACCGTTTCGTGAACCTAGGAGAGGAGGTAATTCTGACTTTGCTATGACAATCTGGCGCTTCTGAATCAGCTACTGTTTTGTTATTAGTTTAAGTATTTGCTATTGACTGTCCAAATGCGGAGTTTTGCGCATGTGTGTAACATATTCTGTTACACCAAATACACAAAATAATGATCTTTAAAAAAGCATCATATGACCCCTTTAATAAAAATTTAATTCTGGAACTATTTTGTTTGCAAAATAACTTAAAATCAGTTAAAGGTCTCAGCTTCATTGGAACAAATAAATAAGTTCATTCTAACATGGAAACATATAAGTAATTTTAGGAGGTTTTGGCCCACACACATGTACAGCCCACTATGACTCTCTCAAAAGTCGCCCTGAAACACTTCCTGTCCTCCTTATCCTGTTTCAGCACCAGGATGTCCTGATAAATAGGCAAAGAGTTCAGTCTCGTATCCATGCCACTGGGAAAGGTGCAATATTCTGAATTGATCAAAGATGACCTGTGGTATTCTGTGTGGTGAAATATTTGGCCTGAAAGTAAAGAAAACAAGAAGCTTATTTCTCTGAGACAAAACCCACAGAACTAGCCAATACCTGCTTTACTT